ATCACACAGCTAATAAGTGTTTGAACTGATGTTTGAACCCAGCAACCTGTCTCCAAAACCTAAGCTTCTAACTGTTATTTAAGCAATGCTTTTTACAGACACCTGGCCACACCAGCGTCTTGCTCCTCTTCAGGAGCAGAGGGTCTTTCCCCGCCTCTTCCCAAACTTCCCCACAGGGGACGACAGAACCAGCTAGTAGACTGGATACTGCTTTGAAGGGTGGGGAAATCTTACAACTCAGGGGTCTGGAAGGAAGGAAGACATTTAAAAAAAAATTTTTTTTTAAATAATTATGTCATTTAAACCCTGAGGAGGTTTATTTGAGGGTAGAGGTTTGGAGAAAGTGTATCTGTCTTTTTCACTCTTGTCTCAATCTCTCTGTCTCTGTTTACTTGGGGTTTTTTGTTTGTTTTTCTCTCTATATATGAAAGCTCCTGGAAAGATCTCCATAAGAAAATAGAGAAACACAATGCATAACAAGGACTAAAGATTTTATAGACCCAAGCTAAAGAAATGGTGCCATTTCCTCAAGGTTGTCCCCATTAGAGGAGTGTTTGGAACAAAAGCCCTGTGTAGAAAGCAAGCAAGAACATAAATTAAAAATTTTGTACAAAATCCATCATTTACCTTTCAGCTCAACGACAAGATATTTTGGAGTACGTTACTGAATAAAACCTGAAGATGGTAAAATACTTGCCTTTGGTCTCTCACTGATTCATTTGAGTCTACGTTTCTGAGGGAGACACAAACCTCACCAACATTTCCCTGGCATGAGAATACATCAATCAAAATAGGTGTAAATATTTGTCAAAAGTTCTATGAAACCCAACTGGCAGATCTCACCTAGCTCTAGCAACTTTTCTCTATGAAATGAAAAATTGTCCCTGTGTTCACTAAGAATTCTTTAATTAGATGGAAAAGAAGCAAGGATATCCCCAGTTACAGTTTATAATAGAAATAATAGAGAAAAGGGTAGCCGACGAGGGTCAAGGGCACCAGAATAAAAAGACACCACTGCATACTAATTGCTATTGACCATTTTGAGAAATAAAGGATTCCTCTTCACATTAGCATCCATAGGACCAAAGCAACCTAACTCTGACTCCGCCTCCCTTTGTGGTTGAAGATTAAAGAGTTGCTTCAAATTACTCTGCAAGACAGTTTCAGTGAATCTGTTAATCAGGAAACATCAGACAGACTGAAGTCATCCTCTGTTGAATTTGAACCACCCCAAAGCTGTGAATGATGCAGCTCATTGTGCTCAGAGACAAACAGGGATTTTAAAATTTCATTAGATACATTATTTGTTCAACTAGAATGTGAAACTGTCACTTTGTCAGACTAATTAGAGGCCCTGAAGTTGGTGGTCATAACGCCTAGAGGAATTTTTTTCTTGTTACATCTCAAACCACCAACCAAATTTTATTCTTTTCTGTACAGATTTCCTAGATTTAGACACCTTATTTAAGCTTTTGCTTTAGAATTTCTCTTAGTATCCCTGAGAGTATTTCTTAGCATTCCTATTATTTTGAATACCATCATATTCCTCCAAATTAATTTCCAGACAGCAGAGATTAAATGCTTCTCACTTGAGCCCTTTTTATAGAGTATATCTTCAATGTGAAAAATAATTTAAAATATATACAACAAAAATATTAGTGGATTAGTCTATCCTGTCATTAGTGAAAATACTGTTCATTCACTTTATTTAAAATAGTTCCCTGAAGAATTTCACTTTTGTAAAATTAAAAATAGTTATGCTTATCAAGGTTAATTAACAATTTTAATAATGAGTAAATTTAAGCTAGGTTAAACCCACTCTCTTTAGAAAGGATACATGAAATATTCCCTTGTTGAATGTGTCTGACAAGAATAGAAAAACAACAAAGAATTAGATCTTCAAGAAAATAAACTACTGTATCTTAGAATTGGACTCTTTTTTATGGTGACATTGAATCTACTATTCTGGGATAGAGTCAAGAATCAAAATATTAAGTGATCTTTGAATAGCCAACAAAATTGTAGTCATTTAATAACTAGAGAACCAGAAAGGATCCGTTATAAAAGTCATCTTACCAATGGCATTGGTCTTGTATTCAAGTTGATTAATCGATTACTCATCTAAGAACTAGGTATAGTCTTAAAGCACTAATATTATATATGAGGCATCCCTTACTTTATTAGGCCATTCATTTCACATTCTATATTAGAAAGAATAAAATAATAACATCAGCAGGATAAAAAATGGTGAAAGACTTCTAAGAACTGATTCTAGCTCATGAGTAGTAGAGTCAGAATCAAAATTTGAAAAAAAATTGTTCATTTGACCACAATGATTAATGTCATTATGTAATTAAGTTTATCAAGAAAATCTGTAATCAGCATATTGGTGAGTTGTTTCTAGTAATTAAGTCACACAGTTGCTATCCAGTGTAGCACTGGTATCAGAAAGTATATGGAATTAATACCAAGGAATTTTGTCAGTAGGAAGTAGAAAACAAATGTATTAATATTAATAATGCTTCTTTCATGTGTATGTAACACAAATTGAAATACCTACTGTTGAAGAAAGCATGGTAACCAAAACATAGCTTTGCCTGAGTCACTCCCAATTCCCAAGAATGTTTAACCAGTAATTTAAAAATTGGTTATTACTGCACAGATATGATATAACCCTCCTTCACCTTACAAGTTTAATTCAAATGCTTCCTACACTTCAGGAATCAGTAGCCATTAAAAAGTGTGGTGCTAATTCGTTGCTGTCCATCTTTGCACATACAGTGAGAGGGTATAACTTTGCAGGGCAATACACAATTATGATGTATCCAGCAATGTGTTATATTATTTACATGCATTTATCATACTTAATTCTCTTACTGTCAACTTTCTGAGGTAGTTACTATTTCTATTATCTTACTGAAAGAAAAAAAAACTGAGGCAAAATACGATTGTTAAACTTGTTCAAGGTCACATAGCTAGTAAGAGGAGAAATCAAGTTTGGATTGAATCTGGTTGGTCACAGAATCCATGTTCTTAACACTGGGATAATTTTCTTGTGTGTAAGTGTGAGAATATGTGTCTAGGGGTCACAGATAAACAGAAGAGATTCAGAGTATGGTAATTTCATGCATATTATGTCATGCATATATATATTTACACTATACACATTTTTTTCCCTTAAGAATCTACCAATCTCATATTTTCTCAGGAAATAAAAAATTGCATTTTTGTTTTGTTTTGTTTTTCTGAGAAAGGAAACACTGACAAAATGGTGGATGTTAACTTCAGATCATCAAAAAAGTTTCACTGGCCATAAAGCCTAGCTACACAAGGTCTAATCATTGCTGAGGAGATCTCTCAACTATATTTAAATCTTAACAGATTTCAGAGTAGTCTGCATCCCTTCACTAGTTCTGCAACAAGACTGTGTTTGGCCATGTCACCATCAGACATGGTAACAGAAATTACTGTATGTTTTATTAAAAACCATTTTTGTTTCTCTCTCTCTTTTTTATCCCAAACTCTAATTTAGTTGTTGTTCCCTTAGGTACAAAGTACACAGTTCATAATTCATTTGATATAAAATGTCAGTTTAGATTCTTGCCTGTCTTTGATAAATGAGAAAAAAACATGTACATTTCAATTTCCTCAATGCCCGAACTACCAAGAACAACCCCCTGTTGTGCTTCTCAAAGACCTTTGTGTTAAATTAAACATCAAGATTCTAAAACGGTGGGGAAGAATATTTCCAAGACAGAAAGTACAAGTACATGAGACAGAGGAAGACAGCTAATGCTTTTCCTACCAGTCAAGTGATATCTCTCAAAGAGTATCTTTGATCCTCAAATTAGTCCTCACTTATAATTTAATATACCACGACCAGCCTGCTGTTTCCTTACATTGAGCTGTAAGAGGCAGTTGCTAGAATCAAGGAAAATAAAAATTCAGATGTGTGTGGGTTGGTTTGACTTTCAACCTAAATAGCAATAGTTTATGTATATTTGGGGCTTATTATATATCATGCTTTATATTCTTTAAACAAATAGTCGAGCTCCTACTTACATGCCAGCTGATCTCAGTGAGTACACATATTTTGTTTCTTACCAAAATCCACTGAGGATGGCAATGCGATCATAAAATCCCTGTTCAGATGAACAAATGGAGGCCTGGAGAACAGATAACTTTCCCAAGGTCACCCAATCAATAAATTAAAATGCTGGGGACAGTGGGTGGTGGTGAAGTTACAATTCAGAAAGTTTGACAGATACTGCAGTCAACGTGTTTACCAAATGAACAATTTAAAAGATATGCTTATATTTATAAAGTAAATCATATGAATAAAGTTCAAGCTTTTTCTTGTGGTCTTGACCTCAACCTCAGACTTTGATGAGGAAAGTGGCCCTCCTTTCTGATGGCCCTGAGGATGGTCAAGGCCATGGAATTCCTGTGGCCATTCCAGGGAAAAATTCCTTCATGTGCTTGCACTGCTCACACTCCTGGATTCTCCATAATCAACCTGGGAATAAGTGTCTCCATCTGACTGTCAGGTTTTTAATAGGTCCTGGAAAGTTGTTTTAGTACAGGAAGGACTCATTCATCCACTCATTCTTCACTCATTCCTTTTTATAATTGTAGGCTTCCTTGCTCTTTCTTTTAATGACAATTTTTTTTAATTTCTAAAATTAACATTATTAGATAAATTAAGTCTCTTTTTACAGAAGCACAAATTGTATACAATCAGAAAATCACACCCATTCATTTCCCTTGAGAGACAGAGGGCATTAACACAAATCATTCAATTTTAATACAGGCCCAAAGAGAGGATAATTTAGTAATTAGCAAAAATGACACCACTGTTACCCACTAATGTTTTGGGTACATGTATTTGAACAAGTTCTAATGAGACCTTCTGTCCCACACCTATATAAAAGTCTCTGTGACAGCAAATCAGATCAGAAAACTTATTTCTATTACGAGCCGAAGAAATAAGTATAAATTACAACTCGTATCACTGGAGAGTTAAAAGTTCAGGAAAGGTAATATTTTCAGATAAGTTAAATAAGTCTTTTCTCCTAAATAAATAAATTGAGGTTATTTTAATATTCTCTTCATCTAATTAGAGCTTAGAGAGAAATTCACAGGAAAGTATCAAAGAAACTGGTCAAAATATTTGGTGGGCAGGTTAATACTTATATCCACACTGGCAGAGGATGGGCTAGTCAACTGGTTGATTTTTGCTGTCTACACACAGCATGGACTTTTTTGCTTGCTTTTTTGTAAGGCTGTAAAAATATTCTGCTTTAATGGAAATTTTTCCCTCTCATGAGAGCACAAACTTAAGGTGCGTAAGGTTGTGTCTTTCATTGAGGACAGCTCTTCAGTACGTCGGCGACAGGTTTTGAATGCCTGATTTTTCAACCCGACAATACTCTTCAAACTATGTTTGACACAACTGTGGAGTGAAACCACACATTAGACAGATATTAATAGCGGGGCCTAAAATCTGTGCTGCCTCTGAGAGATTGTGAGCAGGCAGTGGAAGCGCTTCATGTGAACAGTGCAGCGCAGTGGCTCGGAACCAGCCTTTTGTTCCCAGGTTTGAATACAGTCTCTGCCATTTAGTAGTTGCATGGCCTTAACAAACTAGTCGCAAGCCAATCTCTTTTCCTCCCCTTCCTCATGTGTAAACAGGGATAACAATAGTGCTTTCTTCGTGGAGTTCGTGAGAATGAAATGAGGTAATATATGCTAAATGACATCTGTATTCGTAAGTGCTTCCGAAGTGTGAGTCTCCCACGTAAGTATTCAGAGAAAAAAAAAAAAAAAAATGACCACAGCAAAGAAAACTATTCTTCATCAAATAAATGATTATAGGAGCATAACTGTTCTTTAGGCAACTGGATGCTATGTCAGTCACTCTGTGGAGTTGTATTTGTGGACTTCTAGAAGGAAAGATCTTAACTATGAGGTCTTTTAGCCAGCAAACCCTAGAATCCAGGATAAAGATGTAACTGATGTGAGGAAACACTTTCTGAAACCCCAGAGAGGAGGTGCAGCCACTAGACTCTCATTAAGGAAAATGCCCCAGAGGGAAGAGACTCAGTTTTCAGTTACACCGAATTCCTTAGAACAGATGTTCCATGAAGGAATCAAAGAGCAGAGGAAATTTAGCTGACAGCATCTTCACAGGAGGGCCTATTAGTGTTCCTTGGTGCATGAAATATCATGCCTGTTGCCTTCTGGTGCCACAGGTAGGACTCAACATCTGGAACTGGCTGCCCATGGAATCTCCTCCTGACCCATTCAGGGAGCTTGTGAGAAACATGCCAGTTGCCCTTACAGTGTGCAAAGACCTCTGGCCCTGGGAATGGGGATTCTATGTTTAAAGACAAGTTGAGGGTAGGGGCCCGTTTCACCTATTTTTTCCCTCAGTAATCCTGTTTTAAGTGTGAGAGCCGTAGACAAGATGATATAATGTCTTTTTCTTTGAAGGCATTATAAGGATGATCTCGTTCAGGGGTGTTCAAACTTGGACATGCATCCAGATAACCTGGGGGCATCTAATAAAATATAGATTGCTTAGCCTCCCCTCAGCATGTCTGATTCAGTAGGTTGAGGGCGGGGCTCCAGAATCTGCTGTTTGAACAATGTTCCCAGGTCATGTGGATGCTCCTAGTATGTGATCACACTGCGGGGACCACGGATCTAGTCCAAAGCTGCCATTTTAGAGATGAGAAGCCTGCAGGAGAGTCAAGTAAAGTCATTTAAATCAGACCAGACAGCAAATTAGTGCAAGAGTCATTGCTAGAGCTCTGTGCTCTGAGACAGGGAACTAGAGAAGCATCTTGGAAAACTGCCAAATAAAGTGGCTCTGAGGAGTACCTGCAGGAGAGGGTCAACAATTTCCTAGTCTTAGGCATTATTATTTCCCTGCACATCAGGCTTACTTCCAGACGTTTCCACATTTGAGCGCCTGAACAAAAGCCAACACAAATGTCAAGCTGCCACAGTTTGGTGTGATTTTTAAGAAGTTATGAGGCTTCTCTAAATGCTCTCTACTCGGTGTCTTTTCTCTTAAGTACCTTTTGGTTTAAACACTTTTGTTTTCAAGTGACAGATAACAATACACAGACAGGCTTAAACAATGAAAAGGGGTTGTCTACTGTAATAGAAAAATCCAGGGAAAAAGTTCCTTTTGGGCAATCCTGTATTTAAGGGGTCAAAAGAGGTAGAGCAGGGACATAGGGTAAGGGCCATGATTAATTTTTCCTGCCTATGATGAATAACATCAAGATACATAGAGTAAGAATAGGAGGGACTCTATCTCAGGGCTAAGATTCCATTTTAAAAACCAGGGAGTTAGGGTGTAAGATTCCTAACACACTTCATGGTAATTGGCCAACAACTGATGTGATCTTGAGGCAGGGAAGCAGTTCTAAATGGTGTGTCCCCAGTGCTTGAGGGTAACCCCTATCTTGGAGAACAGAATCAACACATTCCTTATGTTAAGTTTATCTTATAGAACATCTAAATGACCAACTATAGATGGTGACATTATGTCTATCACTGGAGATAGACATCATGAGACCACAGGCCAAGCCTACAAGCCCCCTGGCCCTTTACCCATTCTGAAATCCTTAAAACACACGAATCCTAAGCCTTTAAGCATGCCTCCTCTCTGGGGCTGCCCAAACTCCCCTTTCTTCAAGTGTGTACTTTGCCTTAAATAAAGCCTTTTTGCCACTCAACTTACTATCATTTTCCATCTGCACTCTTCCAAACCTCTTAAGAGATTAGTAAGAGACCCCATTTCCAGTGGTAAACATCTTTATTAGCTTGTTATTTCATTCAATTTTCTATAGTTAAGCACAAGTCTTTTTTCTCTCTCTGTTCTACTTCAGACAAGTAGGGACGGGCTACTGAGACGGCTGATTTGGGCTTGCGAGTTCCCATCGTCTGGGTGACCAGGAGACTGCAGCTGGATGATCATGCTCTTTAGCGGCCTGCCCCAAAATATCTTTTCTTTGCTTTTGGGATGTTCTTAGAACATAATCTCACTTCACCCAGTGCTCGGAGGCTCCCCTAAATCCTGGGGTGGTAGGGACTTAGTTCCCACACTTACAGATCTAGCAGACCTGTGACGCTAGGGGACCCTGGCTTCAGGAGTTGGCAAAGGAGCTTCCCTGTGCTGGGCAGGAGCTCCTCTCTCTGCTCCTCCGTGCTCTCTGCTGCCTGCACAGCTGCTGCCATCCACTCCTACTCCTGCTTTAATGAATTCCTTCTTTACCTACACTCGTCTGACCTCTCCAAGAATTCTTTCTCAAACAGAGTCAAGAACCCTCCCCAGTGCAGGCTGAGGTTTCACCTGGTGCGCAGGGAGAGCCCTCCCCAGGTGCATCTGCCTGACAACAAAATGGTATCATCATAATCCAGTCTACCTCCTCTCAGATCTACTCTTTCTTCTACATTGGCTATATTCTCAGACTCTTTGAGGGGCACTATGATTGGGAGCATATTCGAACACCAGATTCAAACCCAGGATATGACATCTAGCTCTGTGGGCTCTACTGGTTTATAGCATCTCATTAGCTCTGATGGGAGCATCTGTAGTTCCTGAAAAAAAAAATCACTGTGTCCAGAAGAACATGATGTTCTCAATGGCCAGACCTGGCAACAGAGTCAGTCCTACACATGCCACATATTCTGAGCTCGGGAGTGTTCAGGGTGCCTGGAGGGAAACTGAAGCAAGGTAATCAAAACAAAGGGTGGGAGCAGTGATGGCATGTTGGGTACAAAAATAACCCAGGGCCTCTCTCTGGGGGCATGATAGTGAATGCCACTAGTTTCTGCTATATACCCAGAGACAATGTAAATAATAATAAGGATCTGGAAAGAAAAGGAAGGAGGGAGGGAAGAAGGAAAGAAGGAAGGAAAAGAGGGAGGGCGTAGTGCAGGACGGAGGGAGAAACTGAATAAAGGAAACCTCATTTAAAACGGAGTCAGGATTCCAGGAGGGGGAGTCCTACCACCCATCCACAATTTATTGCAGACCCCAACAAGAAGAGTCAGAATCTGCATTCCCAACAGGATGACATCTCCTTTGCTACTCTAGCAGGAGGAAGGAAGTAATTTTTGCTCGACAACAAGATCAACCAATAGGAAAATACCACAATTTAGCCAATGAGAAAACTGAACAAATTCTCACTTCCCTCCAAAGGATTTTTGTTCAAAGCAACCCCTGCCAACTTCCTCCTTTTCTCTCTAAAGCAATGTTCCTCTCCTTTAATCTCAGATTTGCCTATGGTTTGCCATAGCTCGCATGTCTCTAGCTGCATCTGTTATTCTAAAAAAAACCTCATTTTGCTGGAAAATAACTGACTGTTTTACTTTTAACACCAACAGAAGGAAGGGAGAGAGAGCAAAAGAGAGATCAGTTTTGACTCCTATCCACCATAGATTTAGACTCTGGTAGGTAAGTATGCTACATACATATTAAACATTTAAATACATATGGAAGACAGAGTAAATTCTAAAATGACCATCAAAATGTAAAGAGAAGGATTGTTCTCATAAAGTATGCACAAGAGACCCTCACATTTCTAGTTTCCTTTGTCCTAATTAGTCATGTATACCATAGTGGCTGTAGTGAATTTGCCCACTGTTGCTACAATCCATTCATTAAGTTTTTTCAGGACTCTAGAACCTTTTAGACTCTGGGTAATCTATATCCGTTTGTAGAGATACAATAAGGATTTTTTTGAAGTTCCTAATGAAAAGAAATTGAAAATTTGGTCCTTAAGTACCTAAGATATATTAAGAACTTGTCTCACTTTTGTAAAAGTACTTATACGGACAGGTACATGCTCATAGAATTTTATGCAAGTCAGGCATAGAGTCTGTCTCCAATAACAAAGGAAAAAGTAAAGAATAAGATACTATTTTTTAAAAATAAAGAAAAATTTCTTCAGGGCACTATAAGCATTCAAATAAAACTTCAAGTTGCTTTCAAACTGCAGAGCCAGTGAGACAGACATAATTTTTTTAACCTTAAAGTTATAGATAAACCTTTATTCCCAGATAAAAAACAGAAAGGAGAATTGTACT